CCCCCCCCCCCCCCGCTGCGCGAACGGAGCGCGGAGGTGGGGAGGTCTTCATGTCATGCGTGCTTCGTGCATGAGTCTGCGGGGCGCGAGGACGAGGGGTTTTGCCCTCCTGGCACATGGAGGCTCCAGCCAAACACTCCATCCACTGTTCGCTCCTTTGACCCCGGCGGAACGAACAAGAACAGGCAGGAACATAAATAACGGAATGTGGTCAGTCCAAAAACCACAATAATCTCTTGCGAGCTGGCCCGCCCTTAGCTTCTTCCTGGTGTGGATATCTCTCTTTCGAACGTTCGCTCGCCCATTTCGACGAAAGAACCGTGATCGATGGATAGATCGCTGTTTCTTCTGGAGATAGATTCATCATCATCGTAAATAAACGGCACCATCGTCATGGGGCATTCATGTTGAAGTAGATGTATGTTCATTCGCGTAGGATGGCATGTCTACAGCTGAGTATCCTTATATGACACAAGATAACACACCCCCTGGACCAATTTACAATGCTCGATTACACCACGGCGAAGAGGGTGCATGAATGAAACACCACATTTTCGGGAAGTCTCAACGAGGCAGCTTCAACGCCACCGTTTTCGGCGCGGTGACTCCTGTGGTTGAGTAATCGAGATTTGAAAATCGGGCCAGGGGGAGTGTTATCTCAAGTCATTTACTGTAGGTGTTGGCGTTCTTGGGTGGGTGCAGCGGACCACCAGTTTGGTGACCCTCCCTGGAGTTGTTGACTGCGTTTTTAGTGGAGGGTGAGGTTCTACACCACACTAAGAGCTCGTAACATTTGAGTGGTTGCTGCGCGTTCCGTGCCACATGGAGGCCGACCAACAGCTGCCCGGGTCGTGCGTTGTTGGAGAAATCGCGTGTACTACAACAGGCAAGGGACGGGAACAGATGCATGCTACAGTGGTATTGGTCCTGGAGCCCGATTCAGCACATCTTGATTTTTTTCTCGGTCTGGCCCGTCATCAAACCCAACAAATTATATATCAAATGAAAGCTACGGACCATAGCTTTCGAATGCAGCTATTTTCATCTTTCACAACATACCTTCCTCGCGACTTATGTATATCTGAAGTTGGGTAGGAGAGGGCGGCGGGGATGCAAAATGGCTATTTGCGGGACCCCGAGGTGGGTTGTGAAAAAAACAAAACGTGTTTTTGGAATCCTCGTGAAAAACTGGTTCTAGGACGTTTGTTCCGAAACGCAACAATGCCGGGCCAGAACCCGAAAAAAATCAAGATGTAAAATTCAAAAATTGTGCATCTGGACACACTGCTGGGTTGTGCGGGACAGAGACCACGAAAGATATGGACTTCGATGATGAGGACTCACAGGAGTACAGAGACGTGCAGAGCACCCTTCCGGACGGATACACCATTCGCAAGGTCGCCATCGACAGGAAAACCGCGCGCAAGTACCGTCTCACAATAGCCGTTACCTCTGCTGGTGATGCGGACCGGCTGAAGTGGCGCAGCCGATGGATCACAAAGGGGAAACCGCGTGCGCGGCTGGCTTCTGCCGAGCGTGAGTGCATCGATGAGCTGTCGCTCTTGACATGGTTGGACCTTCAGGCAATGAGCGCTACTGCTGAGGGTGTGCCAAGCGCACCTACGCGCGACGGCATGCTGCGAGATGCAGCCCCAGAACCTGGTTCTCTCAAAGAACCTGGCGTTGGAGGCACACGGAAGAGGCCGCGCAACGCATGTTGGGGTGGCACCAGAGAGGGCGCTGGACGAATGAAGGGGAGCGTCGGCAAGAGGGCCACACGGGAGCGAGCTATTGCCTTGCGGCAGCAACTCACGCAGGCCATCCCCGACGCTTTTGAACTCTCCTGTTGGCAGCTGGAGGAAGCCTTGGCAGTGTGGAAGGAGATCGAGCCTGAGCTTGTCGACAAGGCCAGGAAGAAATTCCTGAACAAGGGGTACAGCCAATCGCAGGCGCTGAAAAAGATGAAGCGCGCTCGAGATGCGGAAGCGAGGGTGGTGATGAGGGATGTGGTGGCCCACGATTTTCGTGAAGAGCAGCTGAAGTACTTTGCGAAGGTCAGGAGGGACGCTGCGGTGGTCATCAGCGCATCAGCAGTCGAGGAGGAGGATGATGTGAGTTTTCATAAATGCAATTAAACTGCACAAAG